GGTGTGATGGTACAGCCTGGGGGATGTGGGCATCTTGGACACCTTGGCTGCCCACAACCCTTCTCTCCTGCCCTTGTAGCTTTGCTCACTGCTCTCCAGCCCTGTGAGCAGTGCCAGCCTCCCTTGCTCTCTCCCTGAGGCTGAGTTCTGACAAAGTCAGACCACCAGACACAGCCTGAGCTCACTGCTTGGCTGCAGGCTGCTCCTTTCCTGCTCTGAAAGCACTGCCCCTCTCTTGGGCCTTGGCAAGGGGCAGCTGAGGGGCTGGTGCTGGGCACAGCTCCCCGTTTGCAGGGCAGGATGCAGCTCCCTGCTGCCAGCAGAGCTGTGTTCTTTGCACTGCAGCTGCCAAGCCTTATGCAGGCCCTTGGCTCAGCAGCAGATCTCACATAAATGTTGTGCTAGAACTCGCTGCTGAAGCTGATCTGGCAGCTGTGGCTCTAAGGCTGGCCCAGGGAGCTGGGCTCTGCCAGGTTGCTGCCAGCCTCAAGGAGGAGATGGTTTTTCATGAAGCCAGGTTTTACATGGAATTGTGTCCTGGCAGACTGGAGCAGCCACAGGTTGTTCTGCTCATCCTCCCAAGCAGTCTGCCCTGTTCACATCTCCTTTCCCATGGGTGTGTGTGGGCAGGTTGTGCCCTGTGCCCCTGCTGAGCAGCTGGTGTGCCCAGGAGGTGCCAGGCAATGGGCTGCAGTGCTCCATGCTTCCACAAACACCCACCCAGCTGCAGCCCCCAGGGCTCTGGGGATCTGCACAGGGAAGCCATGGGTGTGCTGATGCCACAGAGATCTCCTGCTGCCTGCAGAGCTTCCCTGTGGGATTCTGCTTGGGCAGTGCTGGGCAGGAACAGGGCACCAGGTACCACTCTGTGATCTGGTAACACAGCCCTGTGCAATGCACACTGCTGCTCCAGGGATGGCTTCGAGGAGTTCTTTGATCAGCTGCATAAGAACAAGATCCCCCTCTTCATCTTCTCTGCTGGGGTTGGGGATGTCCTGGAGGAGATCATCCGTCAGGCCAATGTCTTCTACCCCAATGTCAACGTGGTGTCCAACTACATGGCCTTCAGTGATGAGGTGAGTTCTTACCTGGCACCTGTGTGCTCACTGTGTGAGGAGAGTGGTGTGGTGTGATATTTTCTGGATCCTCTGTTGGAGGGGGAAATGATGAATTTGACTCCATGTTCTTAGAAGGCCAAATTAAATTATAATATAATATAATATAATATAATATAATATAATATAATATAATATAATATAATATAATATAATATAATATAATATAATATAATATATAATATAATATAATATAATATAATATAATATAATATAATATAATATAATATAATATAATATAATATAATATATAAAATATATATAATATACATTGCATTACATTGTATTATATTATATTATATTAATTATACTATAATATAGTATATTATATTATAATATATTATAATATATTAAATGTTATAATAAATTATATTATAATATTTATATATTATTTATACTTTATTATTTAAAATATTTATATAATTTATATATTACATAAATTATATTTATAATTTATAGATGTAATAAATTAATATAATAAATATATAAATAATTGATAAATACTATAAATAATATGAATTATTTATATTTTATAATTATATAAATTATAATTATAAAGTTATATTTTATGATATTTGTTATATTATGCTATAATAAAAGATATAGAGAAATCTATATCTACATCTATACTAAAGAATAGAGAAAGGATACTTACAGAAGGCTTAACAAGATATTAATTAAAATCTCGTGACTCTCTTTTCAGAGTCTGACACAGCCTGACTGTGGTTGGTCATTAAGTT